ACCAAGTTAACCAGGTAAACAAATAATAACTACGGCCTTAATTTTCATTAGGGTATTGTTCATTTCTATGTGAAAAAATTCCTGAAATGTTTGCGTGTGTAATGCCTTTTAGTTTTAGGCGAGTATAGCATGTGCACGAAGTAATGACTCACACCTCTCTGTTTTATGTTTAAAATTGATACCAAACGGTTACTAACAGGTTAATAGTAGGTGGAAAAGGTGATTTTGAGATTATATTTATACATTTGATCTTGTTAGTTTTTCAAGTAGATCTCATCATTCTTCTCACAAAACTTTTTACAGATTCAAAATCGGATGGAGGCTCAAAGTTGCGATTTTTGACTTTTCACGGAAGAACGGTTTTTCAACGCTTTGAAAATGTCATTTTTGGTGTTTTTTGTGATGTTTCCGTTTCTCGTAATTTCACGCGTCTTGCGAGATGTCTACTTTTAGTTTTCAGTTAAATTAACCAATCATACTATACTGCGTTGTTTTATTCTATTTTTAGTAACATGGTATGTTTCCGTTTCTCGTAATTTCACAGTCTCGCGAGATGTCTACTTTTAGTTTTCAGTTAAATTAACCAATCATGTATACTGCGTTGTTTTATTCTATTTTTAGTAACATATTTTATAAACACGTGTGATAAAAAACAGAGTCTGCATTGTCTTATAGTTATCGGATATATTGAAATAAAATCAAATGAATCAGCTTGGAATATTAAACAAGTTAGTCCTAAATTTATAAACTGATTGTTTTATCGTAAGCCTAATTAATATTATGAGCCAATTTTTCTTGGCTTACACCGGCACAGTATTATATTACACTAGGATAACAGTCCCGAAACTCGATAATAGATTGCTACCGTGGAGTTGACAAACATCTGTCTTATATACAGCTGCGACTCATATATGAATGGAGGTCAGAAAAGCAGTAATATATGACAATTCGACTTATACTCTATGGAAGTATAACGTTGCCAATATTATTTCATTGTTCACGGTGCAAACTGCAAATGTCAGTAGTTCAAAATACGTATTTTAGTTTTACAATTTGCAATTTCCATTGCTCAACACCAATGCCACGGTGTTAAAATACAGAATACACTTTTCAATAATACAAAATACAGTAGAATAGTTATTTTGCACATTACACTTTTGCATTCTTCATTTTGCATAATAGACAAATGCATAATAGAACCTTGCATAGTGTGTGAGTTAGTTGTATTTTACGTCCGCTTCCACCGAGGTGATATCGCAGACAAGACCGTGCATAGTAGAACATATACCTTATATGGGATCTACGACGAACGTCATTTGCATACGGAAAAAAGTCCGGACTATGACGGAATTTAATGATTTACGCGATCTATCCATGAGGTCACCTGGATACGAAATGAAGTTAGCACACATATAAAAACCTAGATATAATTATCACGAAAATAATTGTTACCTTTATAATATGTAATAGACCCCCCCCCCCCCTGAAAAAAAAATATATATTATTACCGTAAACATACTAAAATATCGCACACTAGGCTAACTGAGCACGCAGAAAAGGGGTACGTCCACACTGCATCAAAACGCACCAAAACCAGCTTTAGTGGCAAAATGTTTTTTTGTTTCATGGAATCAAGGGATGAATAAACTACTAGAATACAAATTCTCAGAAGCTTCCTCAGCTGGCTTTTAGAGAAATATCACCGTAAACATACTAAAAACATGGGGGGGGGGGGGGATCGGGTTAGGGTAGGCTCATCGCGCACGCAATAACATATCCCAAACTTAGGCTGCCTGTCTACAGCTAGCTCCGCCTGAGAACAGGCCCTAAGCTAATTAACCAACATTTTAATTCCTACATCGACGATTTTAGTCGAAAACACTGAGTATGCTTTTAGTAATTTTTAAAAGTATTTATTTCTCTTTTATTGTCATATTGAATGAAATTAAATATGTTTATTTAGCCGCTGTGTGTATGAAAGATGTCAAACTAATCAAAGCCGAATCACAAAATAGTCCTCTAATTATTCAATATGGTGGCGCCCATGAAACATAATTTCACAGAGGCGGTTTTGTTTGCGAAGACAAATTTAGGAGTATCTAACCTTGTTTTGAAAGATAAACAGATTGAAACTCTAAAGACAGTTTACAATGGCAAAGAATGTATTGTAATATTACCCACTAGCACATATTATATACCGCTTTTAACGTAGTGGCAGAAGTTGACAATTTGCCAATGACACATATTTACATAATACATGTGCTTCATCAAGTTATTTTTACTCTGTTGTGTACACAAAGCGGTAGTCCCGCCCCAAAATGATCACGTGAGCATTTTAAATGGAGTCTATTTGGGGCAGTGATCATAATCTCGAAGTATGATGTAGAAGAATTGCTTGCGTGCAGTTTGTTATAAGACTTGGGTCTCCAATACAGTAGTGAACTCTTCATGAAAGAAATAGACTGGATAATTAAGGCTGCTATTAAATCACGAGTGTTAGAAAGAATGGCGGGAAAGGCCACTCGTTTTACATCGCTGGAATTATATTGTTACCGGTAGTTCGGCTTTTAGGGAATTTTCAGCTCTGGTTTTTCAATTTCATTTTACAAGACAAAGAATTTATATCACTTGGAATATTTATTCTTGGATTCATGACAGTACAGTAGATGGACTGACTTAGTTTAGTAGCATACGTGTTTGGATCTCTCCATTGAAGGAATATAATATGCCAGATTATGCATGTGTATTCAATATCGGATAAAGATAAATAAGACAGTAAGGCGACACTTTTTTGATTTTTCGTTTTACGGACCCGCCGACTGAAGCGTGAACCTCCCGATAAAAAAATAAATATGTAACTTGAGAATTTAATTTTATTTTATTTCCGACCCATACACGAAATAAAATCTTTCATATTTTTTTTATTAATGTTATCAATTTTCATTTTGATGAACCCTTCATTGGCTTCAATGTATACCGTGTATTTACTAGGAAACATCCCACGAGAACTGTCATTCAAAATGGCGGGATATCTGTGCCTCAACGTGGGGCAAGAAACAGGAATTAATCAAAGATCATTTGTGAAAATCAATTCATCGGACACTATACGCACTTATATGGATATACTACTTCTGAATTTATTAACAAGCGACGTTTCTATACACATACAGGTATCGTTGTTAGGGCTGTGTCGATATATCGATACACCGATATGTATTGATACGTTCCAGCGATATTTATATCGATACGTAATATGGCCGTATTGCCGTATCGTTGAAAAAATTATTCAGTTAAGAAAGACCATGAATTGAAACCTACGTGACGAAAGAAGACGATCTCGGCATGGTTATTGGTTTGCCAATCGAGAGTCTTCCAAGTTCCACGCCGCGTATGAATTCCAGGCACCGGTAGATATTATAATAATAACTGGATCATACATTGATGGATTCATTGACCAATTGTTAGGTAAATTTAAATCTTCATTGAATATAATCCCCTCGAATACACCGAGAAACAATCATTTAATAATATATTTTCCTGATGGCATCTCCAATGCTGAATTTCAATGACACGTGACATATCGGTGGCGAATTAGGTCAATAACCCAGTTCTAAATAGCGCTTACCATTATAATTTTTTTTATTTTATACACATTCTGACAAAGGCTTAAATTTAAAAATATTGTCGTTTTTATTGAAGGCTATATCATAATCGCGCGGAATTTTTTTTAAAAACAATTACAAGTATGGTTGTCACGTGACAATTGTACCGTGTGTCTATCATTGGCGAATGAATAAAAACTTTTGCAAGTTACGTGACTTGCTGCAGAAAACTACAAATTGTGTTATGAAGAAATGCCATTGTGCCGCATTTTCCGATACTGGCAATAGTAGAAAAATACTAATATTTTAGATCATCGACTTATGAAACGCGAACGTTTCATCGAATAAACGAAGACGGTAATTTATTCTGGAATATTACTGACGTGAACTTCATGTTGGTACGTGAATTAAATATGGAAAATTTTCAAAAGGTGTACCTCTGTCGTTATTTTTGTGGTAATCACATACATACGGCATTCTCCATAAATTACCAAGAATTATTTTTGTTGAAGTCTACTTATATCAAAGGGAATAGACTCTTATAATTAACCCATTTCCTAGTTTGTGACACCTAGATACTGGTTAACAGTGATACATAATATATTGTCACACTCTTATTTTGTTTTAACAATATTTTGTGGGTTTTTTTGGGGTTTTTTTAACCGACCTACCCAACCAATATGATAACCCTGTGCTGAAAAAAAAATCTAAAGTTTAAATTTATTTTTATTTTGACCTACCCAACCTAAAGTGCTGCCAAAAAATCCGTAAACCATGAAATTAAAAATGTCTGGCCTAAGGCATACTATTGGAACACACAATCTGGGGCCATAATCCATGAAGATATGGTCCAATACATGCCAATATCGAAAGGAACCGAGATCTTTGCGAGATATATTTCAAGTTTCGTCAAAATCGAATAAAAACTGTGACCTGAAGAGTGTCCACAAATTGTGGACGGACGGATGGACAGGGGCGGCGACAATATACATCCACATGAAAATGTGGGCGTATAAAAATAAATTTGCAAAGAATTATACTGTAAGAATATAGTCAAATAGTGTGATACCATTAACTGATTGGCTGTTATAGATTTGGCGGGATCTCGAGGCATACCTGTCCCCCGGTGATTTATGATGCATGAATATGTTTGATGCGAATTGTTTGTCTGAAACTTTAGCCGTGTACTGTACCTGAATATAATACTATCAAGATCAAAAGGATATTCAATGATACCCATAGTTGGGACTCTTTCCACGCAAAATATCCTGTAGTGAGGATAAGTAATCTGGCTCCGCTATTCCATTATTTCATCAAGCATATAATGTTACAGCATAAAGCATACATGTTTTCTTTAGAAACTTTTTTTCTGGTCAATGCATATGGAAATTGACTTACCTGAATATTATACTATCAAGATCAAAAGGATATTCAATGATACCAGTAGTTGGGACTCTTACACGCAAAATATCCTGTAGTGAGGGTAAGTAATCTGGCTCCGCTATTCGATTGACACTATCCAGATAACTGAAAATTATAAACAAAATATATATACAGAGAGTAGGTGAGATAAGACAATCCATCACAATAACTTTAATATTAAAACTAAGCGTACTTACTCTTTCACAGATTCATTATCTTCCATGGTTACTTACCATTCAATTTAACCTAGTTTACATTAGCATACAAACCTATCTATAATATACATTTCTAACTTGGAAAATGGTTTTTACGACCTCATAGACTGACATACATACATCAATCATCTTACTGAATGTAGTATTTAGTAGGGTCAAAGTACTGAGAACCAGCAGCTGCCAGGCAGGATACACCCACATTTTCGAGAGATGGATAGAGAACAAGCCAACAAAATAGTGATTTTTCCTACTATCAAGGGCCATAATTCGTCAATAGGCAGACGAAGTGACTTATCTTCCTACCGTAACCTATTGACGATAAGTCACTTCGTCTGCCTATTGACGAATTCAGGAAATTACAATTCAATATGCGCGAATATATATAGAAAGGAACTGAGATCTTTGTGTTATAAACTTACATTTTAAGTTTCAACAAAATTGGATAAAAATTGTGACGTCTATAGGGTCCACAACCTTGATATACCGTATTTTTACGCTATTTGAGAACGAACGGCGGCCATTTTGTCAGTCAATTTTGGGCCGATTTTCACGAAATTCGAACTCAGTCGTCTTTAGGGTGTAACAGTGATATAATAATACGTTTTTTTAAATCGGATAAAAAATTATGATTTCTTGTGTCCTTGAATAAGACACTTTATCCCTGTATTCCAGTCTACCCAGCTGTAAATGGGTACAGGTAGGATGGTGTATGTATTATACAAAAAACTGTTGCGCTCCTTGAAGCAGCATATGTTGGGGCTCTTTCTAAGAGTTCAGGGGTAAAGGGAGGTAATCAGGCTTTACCTGTATCCTAGAGACCAGGATAATAATTGTGTAGCGCTTTGAGCATAAACTTGGTTTATGGATATAGCGCATTATAAATATACTCATTATTATTACCTTAAAGCTAATACAATGACATTCATCGAGTATCAACTAAATTTCATTTGGAGTGCCGCCCAGCTCACTGTGGTAGCGGCATATGGGTATGTCGACTGGGGACACTCCCAGCTCACTGTGGAAGCTGATCATGCCTATTGAAGCACGTTGCTAACTGATTCAAATTTTGAGACACAGATGGATACCGTATCGCATGTTTGTCACATATGCAGTGAACCATTTGATAATGATCTGCCCAACATTATTTAGGAAATAACGGGTATTGTGAGCGTCAATAAGGTGGCTAAGCTCAAAAATTATGGTCATGAAAAATACTATGTGGAATGTTGCAACTTTCACTATTGAACAATGTTGTAAGTGGAGGAGCTTATATCAAGGTCTAGACGGTCCAAGGTGCCAAAATTAATTTTTGCGCACCGTTGTCTTTTACATGGTCTGTAAGAAAGACTAGCAGACGGTCCATTACAACAGATATTTTTTGGACATGCTAAGACCGGACATTTGACGACTGGACATTAATCTAGTGTCATCTGGCCCCGAGTTTACAAAGCATAATCAGACTTAAGTTAGCAATTTACTCAAAATTGTTCGCCTTATTTTAACTAAAATATAGACTTTTATAAAACTTTTGTTGTTTTAATGTATCAAATACATCAATAAGAAACTATGTGTAAAGTTTTGTGTTTCTGGATCAAAGATGTTTCTCATAAACAGTGATTGAAAGTTGAGTAAATTCTTAACATAAGTCTGAGAATGCTTTGTGAACTCGGGGCCTTGTGTCCCTAAATAGATGACACTCGTTAATTACTTGCACACCTAACAAATTTATAAAGCATATATATTTGTACAATCAGAAGCCATAACCCAGTAAGTTATGGTCTAAAATGCGCAAATATCAAAAGGGACTGAGATCTTTGGAATATACAGATATTTTTTAAGTTTCATGAAAACTGAATAAAAATTGTGACCCCTAGAGGGTCCACAACCTTCGTATTACATACTTTTACACAATTTGCATACAAAGAGCTGCCATTTTCATTTTGATTTTCCCGAAATTTGATTTCAACCTTCATTATGGTGGAATGACGATATATTTAAACAGTTTTTAATATAAAAAAAAAAAACCTGTGACCTCTAGAGAATCCACAAGTTAAAGTTACAATTTCATATTTTCTAAGAAAGTCAAAACATAATTATTTCTGTCTTTTGCTCAATAGGTTGTCAACTCACTATTATCCGATCATAGGTTATCTTTCTCACACTTAAAAATCTTCACTCTGGAAATAATAACACAATTACCTCCCTTCAAACGTTTGAATTTGAAGTTGAAAATGATATTTTTGCCAATTTCTCAACTGGCAATAGTGAATTATAGGATTAATAGGATTATTCTTTAACAAGGTAGGACGGTTTATAGATATCATCTATTTTAGGGATTTATTTTAATACATTTTAAAAATATAACTTAAAAATATGAAAGTGTAACTTTTAAAACAAGCCAACAGTTAGGCTTATGTCCCTCGCCGAAATCCCAAAACAAATAGATGACACATTAATTAATCGCACATTTATTCTTTTCAAAAGTATCAAGCAATCAAACTGATCCATCACTCTCTATCAGATAGAATCAAAGTTATCTTGTACCAAAGTATCAACCAATGAAATTGCTTAGCTCTGCTTAGCTTTAGCTCAAAATGTTAATCACTGAACTCAGTAATGAACATCTACATCAAGTTTAAACATTCTACCTCAATTAAAAGCAGAGTTGTTATGTTCCAAAGTTTTGACCAATCAAATTGCTTATCGCTCCTTAGCCTAAGCAGAAAATTCTCATCATTGAACTTAGTCAAGGTAATGATATAATGAATCTATGTTCAGAGTTTCATCACTTTCTCTCAATTATACCCAAAGTTATCGTGCCCCAAAGCATTAACCAATCAGATTGCTTATCCCTGCTTACCATAAGCATACAATGTTTACCATCAATCTCCATCAAGGCATTGACCGGATGAAAACCTACACCAAGTTTGAACAGGGGGCAACTGTAAAAAAAAATCCAAACAGCAACTGGGGGGTGGGGTGGGTCTAACTGAGTTTTGCAAGAAAAAAAGCATTTCCGGGTAAGAAAATTGGGTGGTCTAACAGAGTTCTGAAAGAAAAAAAGCATTTCTGGGTAAGAAAATTGGGTGGTCTAATGGGGCCCTGCAAGAAAACTGCATGAAACAGGATACGAAATGTTTCAGTTCATATCAATAACAACTCCATCAAAATAGAATCGTAATTTTTTAGACCGTATCCAAAATTATAGTTTACGTACATATATGTCTACAAAAAAATAGGGATATAAAATTGAAAGCTATATCCTACTTTTTGCCTCAGTAATTACAATAAATGCGCTGTTTTGAGCTCCAAATGAGTTGACATTAGGTCATTTGGATATTATAAGACTAGATATCATGTCGGCCAAATGCAACAAAATCTGAATTCTATAGAATTGATATGTAATCACAACGGCAGTTTTAGAAACTACGGCTCTACTCTTTCAATAGAGAATGATCATGGAAAATATGCTTTGATTGGTCGCTGGTAAATAAATTATGAAAGAAAATGCTATTCGAATATTTCAAATAAAATATTTTTAACGTTTGAAGATTTTTAAAAAGATTAGTAAATTAGCCCTAGTGTGGCCTTTTTGACCGGTAGTACCAGTCGTGAATGAATTAGGTACGGCCTGTTAACCGAGACTACACAGGGATAACTCTTGGCAACAACCGGCAACAATGATGGCTACACTTTCGAAGTTTTGATAACTTTAACATGGGTGAGTTTTTAGCTTTTATTATTTTATTTGCAGACCGTCAACACAATTTTATTGCTAGTTCTTGTTCAGAGAAAAGAGTTCTTGCATACACCCCTCAGAATACCCTATAAAACTATGTGATGCCTAGGATTCAAGTGGTTGCTATGTATATCATTCTGACGTGTTGTCAATCATTGTCATTGTCAATTTTAGCATAATTTCCCGTTATCCTAGGCCCAAATCAGCTGCTATTTCACCTCCCCTAGTGACTATATTTTCAAACAATTCCTTGAGACTAATAACTCATTATCAGGCGGATCATGTTATTCAGAATTTGGGCAAACTTTGATTTAAATTGTCCACTATAAAGTAAACACTGCAGAGTGCAAAAAAACAAAACAAAATTGTCCACACTGCTTAGTTACGAATAATTTATGATGCCTGTTTATGGCTGATTTTCTTCTGTTTTATATATTTCAGAGATGTGTTTGGATGAAGTTTGAAAATAGTGTGATGGTCATTTGAGCAGAATTTCTTGAAGATATTTGTTAATAAAGATTTGAGTTGAGGAAGATGGCTGAGCACAAAATGAAAAAAAAGTACACTGTAATATTTATATACGCACTTAGGCGACATAAAAAAAATTAGTTGGTGATCGTCCCCGCCCGCCCAGAAAATTCTACCCGACCAGAATTTTTTTTTATTTTTTATTTTCAAAATTTACCTTCTTACAATGTTTAAAACCAATGGTAAAAGTTCCAAAATGTAGCCAGGCTACGAAATTCCTAATCGCAAGACTTAATGAAGTGGATATAATTATTGGCACGTGTTCCAATACTCTTCAAATGCGTAGGACTGAATGACATAAACAAATTACGACCTGTTAACGGCAACAATGGCTGACATTTTTGTTTGCACGCGTACAGCACCAAATACAATATTATTAATACAACATATACAACCTGGAACTATATGTTAAGATGGGAATACGTCTCGCCGATTCTGAATTACATGAAACAGTCTCTCGAATAAATGCAACAACAGATTTTCGGAATGGCCATGGGGGGCATGAATAACTAAATCAACCGATTATTAATATTAGTGATCGTAAGTCGTTATGCAAAATGTCTTTTTTTTTGTGTTTTTTTTTGGGGGGGCGGTCTCTTCTGGTCTTACTATTCGCAAAATAC